CTTTGTGGGGGCGGAAAGGGGCGGGTGACATACACTTGCAGCAGTGTGATATCGCATGAGTCTGGAAACAAAATTTGGTTGCTCTAACTCTTAGAGTCTCTGCGATCTAGGCGATCAGGGGTATAATACCAACCCTGAGATGGAGGTAGAGGATCGTCCAACCATGGAAATATCGCAAAGAAATTATATTCCAATGTAGCATTAAGTTTCGAAATCACAGGAATTGATTAAATTTTGATTCATAGATGCGCAACATTATTGCAAGCATCAGGATATAAAATGAATGCGGATAAATTTAGAAATATGATATCTGCATATACCATCCATAAAGGTGACCATCCACAGTCGAACTCCCGTCGAGCACAACATGCTCGGCCCGCATGTTCGCCTGTTCGGATGGGTCTGGAAGATATTAATTCATGGTTATTCAAGTTTATTTAAACCAGATGTAAGATAATTAAGTTATGTGGAAAAAATTAGCACTATATTATTAGCACTATCTCAGAAAAAAGCATTATACCATTTTTTCTAATACTTTAAAAAAGTTATGCCGTGCAAAAAAATCGAATTTAACCAGTTCCTTGTGAAAAAATCGTGTCGGGTAGTCTAAATGAACTAAAAAATAATGATTATCCCTGAAGAATATCCTTAAACCTTATGTATATTTTTGATTTAATGATTACGGTACCTGCGCTTGCCGAAGTTGCGTTATTGCTAGAACAACTAGAAACATCGTGCCTTAAAATTTATAAGTACCATAATTTTATAATCACAATTGTTCGCTATTCTTTTCAGGCTTGCCGTGCCGTCTTTGAGCCCTCCAATGCCAGCCAGGATCATGTGGACATTGATTCCTCATGCGGGGATCGGAACTTGGATGTGGTACAGTGCATACACAACCACACGGACATGGCGCCGTTGGCCAACGCCGAACAATGTAAGAAATCCGGCTATCGCAGCCCGACGACACTGAAACTCATCCCCCGAAAATCCCCCACAGATCTGCCGTGCTGTGCGTACAGCAACAATGAGCACTGTCGCCACACGTGCCGGAACCTGCTGCATCAGAATGTGACCCAAGTAGAGCGCAGCGAGGTGATTTTCACGCGTCTGGAGGCGGCTGGCTGTGGCACGCCCTTGCCACATTTGCCCTTCTGGCAATGCTTTCTGACGGTGACTAGAAAGCTGTATGTTCCAGCTGGAGGAGGCTTTCCATCGCAGCGACGCCTGGGGGGCAAGGCAGCTGGGGCTGTGGGAGAGCCAAACCACCTGGGCATGGATGCAGCCAAGCGGCAATGCTGCGAGCAGGCCAGCAGCCACAGGTGTCGGCGCCTGTGCACGCAGATCTTCACCAGCGACTGGTGGGAGACACGGGCAAGCTTCGACAGCGAGTGCCTGGAGCAGCCCGACGAGAGGGAGCTGCGTCGCTGCGTAGAGAGCGTGGATGCCCCGTGCGAGCTGGGCTGCAATGGCCTCAGCTTCTGCACGAACTTTAATAATCGCCCCACGGAGCTCTTCCGCAGCTGCACTCCCGCCCACGATGCGGCCGCCAGGGAAGATTTCCTGATGCTGCAGCAGCGCGGCTTTGTTCGGGTTCTCGGCCAGGAACTTTTCATCAAGAACACCACCCGCTGTGCCCCGGACAAATGGCAGGCCCTGGTGTGCGCGCTGCAACTGCAACCCTGCACCAGGATGGGACTCTACAACGGTATCTGCAGCGAGGACTGCAACGAGCTGCTGGAGGAGTGCTTGGACTGGACACGGCAACAGAAGCGACCCCAGGCGATTTGTTCGCGACTCCAACCCTCTGCGGAAGAGGATGAGGACCCGCTCCCATGCATCTCCTTACGATCGTATCTGGGGAAAGAGCCCCGGGACGCTGTTTCTGTTGGTCACTACGGACTGACCTCGCCATGCTCGCAAAAGCCGTGCAATGCCAGTGAGGTGTGTGTTTTGCAGAGGAGAGGCATCCAAGGCTACGCCTGCATTCCCGGCTGCAGCCTGGGCCAGGCCTCAAGCCTGATTGTGCCCTTTGGGGCGTATGTCCGCCTCGGGAAGAGCAGCATCCACACCAAGTCGGATGTGGGTCAGCCACTGACCGCCGAGCACATTGTCTGCAGCTGCGGCCTTCAGGGACACCTCGAGCAGTGCCAGCCGCTGCCCAGCTACAGCCACGCCCACTGCACTCTTCCCGGAGGACGAAGTTTCCGCCATGGCGCATCCTTCTACCTGGAGTGCAATCTCTGCAGCTGCTTCGCCGGCGAGATCACGTGCACCAAGAAGCAGTGTCGCCTGCCCGGATTCACGGACTCCAGCTACACGAGCCTCCCATGCAACTGTGCGGCTCATTACGTGCCTGTGTGTGGCTCCAATGGGAACACCTATCCCTCGGCCTGTGTCGCCAAGTGCCACATGCCGGAGGGCAACTATGTGTACGGGGCGTGCAATGCCCGAAATGCTTGCCAGGCGGCGCCTCCCAACAGTTGTCCCCAGGGAACCCAGTGCCTGGACAAGCGGAAGGTGTGCCTGGCCAGCATGCAGCGGCCCTGTCAGCAGTACGTCTGTGGTAAGCTCGTCGCTTTCAGTTTGTGCGTGTACATCCGATATTTACCGAGGCTTCTCCTTCTGCCTTTGCAGTGAATGCCACCGCCTCGAACTGCACCTCCTACCATCAGGATGAGGTGTGTGACACGCAGGGACGCACTCACCCCAATGCCTGCGCTCTGCTGCGAGATAATCCCAGTGGCCAGGTGGCCTATTGGTCGGCCTGCCAGTCGAATCGCTCCTCGCCGTCGCCCTCGCCCGTCTGTGGCATCAATGGGGTGACCTATCGGAGCATTTACGCAGCGAGGGCCGAATACGTGCTGGCCGACTACGTGGGTCGCTGTCGGGAGGTGGGCTTGCTGGCCAGCGAAATGGGAAGACGATGTCGGACAGTCCAGTGCCCGGCTCCAGTGTCCAAAAACTGTCGATTGATTGTGCCACCCGGAGCGTGTTGTCCACTTTGTGGGGGCGGAGCGTTCCGGATTATCTACTCCCGGAAGCAGTTCGATCGCGCCATGTATGGGCTGAGAGCTCAGAGCAGCACGTTGCTCACCCTGCATGGGGTGCTCCAGCAGCTCGATGGGCTGGTGCAGGTTAGCGAGTGTCAGCTGACGGGATTCCTCACCATGGAAGTAGGCATATTTGTGGCTCTGGTGCCGAGCAGCAGCATCAAGCGACCATCACAGCTCCAACTGGAGGCTTGTGCGCGCGAGGCGGAGAAGATATCGTCGCTGATAAATGCCCAGTCCCCAAGGATCACCACCAACCTGGCCCTATCCTGTCTGACTGTATCGCATCTGCTGGAACCCACACCAAATGGGGCGGAATTGTATGGTTCTAGAACCCTATGGTTAGTGCCCCTGATCCTTTTTGTAGGTCGTAGTCTAGTTGTAGGATAGAATATTAGCTTTAGAAGGAGCGTGTAAGAGCGAACAATCAAGTGAATTCTTGGTGCCAATTAATCAATTAGTTCAACCAGATGGAATGTGCCTTCAACTGTTAGGAATTGACCCTCTGTATCATGTGATATTAGCCTCATTAATTAATCTTTAAGCAAAAGCTCACGGTCCCGGTCCCATTGATCATTTCTGGATAGAGGTTATACATATATAATTCCTTTGTATTCGTTATCGACCAAAGCAGCGTCTGTCCATGAGCACAGCTAGTCCAATAAAATACTCACATATAGGCCTCCCAGACCCCGTCAATAAACGAGCGAATCAAATTGAAGCATTGCTCCATTTATTGAACCACTCCACAGGGAAATCCTTTTCCAGTTTTATAAAATGAATGCAAAAGTAAATAAAACTAATAACTCCCTTAGGACGTCTCCATGGGAACCACCTCGATACGTTCAGTGATGTCCAAGTCCTTGGTGGAGGTGTGTAGAACGTATGTGTCGCCACTATTAAAGCGATAGTCCAACTGGCGCGTACCTTTCTTGTTGGCCAGCTCGTAGTTGCGCAGATATTCCACGCTGTCCTTACGTATCACGCACAAATCAACGTTCGAGCCCGAGCCCAAATCGTTGAAAATACCGGCACGGATTGCATCGCGTACGAGATGCTTGGCCTGATCCTCGGACAGGTCGGGCTGCCAGCGGCTCTCGAACACAGACATGGCGGCCAGGCTGCCGGACCCCATGGTGGCATAGGGCAGCTTGTCGGAGCTGCCATGAGGATGAATGGAATAGATGTGGGGTCCAGTTTTATCGACGCCGCCCAGCACCAAGGCAGCGCTGATGTGACCCTGGTAGCGAAAAAGCATTTGCTTCAGCATGGTGTTGGCGGCCACCACGCGCACCTCTCGCTCGGTGCTGAGGCGGTGCAGCTCCAAGTGGGACGAAATGAGATCGGTGGTCATTTCGGTGTCGGCCGCAGTCCCGGCACCACAGCAGCTGCAAGTCAGGCGTTAGTTAAGGCGCTTAAATTGAGAACAAGCTATCCACTTACTATATATTCTTTGCCAGATAATGGATCTTGGCGCAGTTCTTGTCAGATACAATGGGACCCTCAGTGGCGCGCGTGTCGGCTCCCAGGACAACACCATCTTTGTAAATGATGCCCACAATGGTGGTACCCGTTTTGGTTGTGGTCGGCGGCTTGAAGCCCCCACTCAGTAGTGTCGCATTGCTGCAGAAGAAGAAGTCTTGTCATGGAAGAGACGCCGGAGGACTATTCGTGAGCTTACCGCTTGCAGTTGTCAAAGTTGAAGCCAGCGCGTGGCAGGTTGCGTGCCAAATCCAAATCCATTGCGTATTGCTATCTGATTATTTCCGTAGTTACTTGAGAAAATAGTTTTCTTGTTTTTTGCTGAGCAGAATGACAGTCAAAATCGTAATCAGTGTGACCAGTGCGCCAATAACGATCAAAAACACCATCCGGCCAAAAAATAAATACCATTTCAGCTTCGAGAAATACCATTTAAATACCATACCATAAAAAAACCAGACTTAACCCACTTAACACCCCTCTATTTAAAAAGTTGAGCAACCTTTGTTAAATCGCGGAAAATAATACTTGTAAAGGCTCCTTGTATTGTAACTTACCGCACGAACGTATAAATAATGGAACATAGTGCCCTGCAAGTTGAATGCAGCTATTACAAGTACCTTCCATTTCGGTACGGGTAGAAAAGTCTGCAAATAAAATATCAATACATTAATTAATTAAAATCAGCCAAACTGAGGGATATATGGGTACATACCATATGGGAAAGATGATACTCGTCTAATATTATTACAAACTTTTCATTTCGAAAATATGTGAGGCACGATACCAAATTGACCTTGCCGATTTTCACATCTGCTATGTGACTGGGGCTTTTAAGGTACTGGATCGCGTTCTTCAGATCGTTGGCGTTAAATTCCACTAGACTAAATGATTTGAAGAGGTAAAACATGGGACAAACGGGTCGGCGGTTTGTGTACTGGTCAGGTTTCTTCGGATATGCTAGTTTCTTCATCCGGCCAGGCTTTGCCGGTCGCAAAGGGCCCACAGATTGTTGCTGGTCCTGGGATGACGCATTGCTGGTCGCAGCAGTGGCACTGGCTCCAGCCTTGCTCGTATCCATCTTGTCCTGTGCAGTGTAGTGCGTAGTCCTGGAAAGTCCTGTCAGTGGCTAGTCCTAGTAGCCGGTAGCCGGGTAGCGTCTCGTAGCGTCTCGTAGCGTCGCGTAGCGTCGGTTTTGCAGTTTTTGCAGCCCTAGCTATGCTATCGATACGAACACAATACCATCGATTGTTGTACGTCTAGGTCCAGTTTATGTCCTTACCAATCCTTAGCAGGAGGCTATAGTTATAGAAAGAATTCTATAGTTATAGCCATCGTGTTTTTCAGATCTCATGAGATCCATCTCAATTGCAATTTATATAAATATAATTTATAAATTTATATCGATACTATCGTTTCGGCAACGATCCAGCCCTAGTGAAAGATCCGTTATGATATGTGTGTTTGTGTGAGTGTGGACGCGGCGCGCCAAAGCGCTTAAGCTAGCTTAAATGCTGAAACTAACTACGTACAGCAACTACGTAAAGTAACGTTAACTTAGTAACTATCTAGTAACAGTAGTAACCTAACCTGTAGTTAAGTGGAGCAACAGCCCGACATATGAGCATAGTTACGTGTGTGTGTGCGTCTGCGGACGCCCGCCAAATCGGCTTAAACTCTCTCACTTAAACTCGCTTAAACGCCTAAACTAACTACGCACCATGTAGTATCTACGTACCGTTAACTTAGTTAGTAGCGATATAGTACCAGTAAATACCTAACCTGTAGCTAAGTGGAGCAACAGCCCGACATATGAGCATAGTTACGTGTGTGTGTGCGTCTGCGGCGCCCGCAAAATCGGCTCAAACTCTTTTACTTAAACTCGCTTAAACGCCTAAACTAACTAGGCACCGTGCAGTAACTACGTAACGTTAACTAAGTTAGTAACGATATAGTACCAGTAAATAACTTACCTGTAGTTAAGTGGAGCAACAGCCGGAGCATCCCATTTTGAGCATATACGTGTGTGTGTGTGTGGACGCGACGCACCAATAGCTGTAATAATGAGTAAAAACAGGAAAACAAGAGAGAAAAAAAAGGACAAGGCCGCCGATATCCCAAACTCCAAATCTTCGGTGAACAGCAACGGTCCCCACAGGCTCCAAGCGGCTTTGGGACGTCCCCACCAAAAGTCCGACAGTCCCACAGAGACGGCGAGCAGTAGCAGCAGCAGCGGTTTCTCTTCCAGGGACAGCAGAGACCAACATCGGCAGGATACGGATAAGTCGCAAACCAGCGCCATTGCCAAGCGGGATACCTTCGCATCGCAGCAGCAGCAGCAGGCGGCCCTCTCGCAGGAGACTGTAGTGAATCGCTCCAGACTGGCCATTGAGGCAGCAACGAGGCGCTATGGGGCGTCAGACTATGCGCCACATCCCACAGGGATAGTGTTGCGACGCGTGGGCTACTACACGATACCCTCGCTGGATGATCTCAAGTCCTACCTGGCCGAGGATGGGTCCTGTGTGGTGCCCAATTTCACCATTGGACGCGAGGGCTATGGCACTGTGTTCTTTGCCATGGAAATGGACGTGGCTGGACTGAATCTGGATGAGATTGGTAAGTGATTGGGGAGGAGCCAGGCCAGACAAGCATCATCCGCCAAGAACTATTCTCGCTCTCTCTCTGCAGTTTACTTCCGTAACAAGGGGATCATCATTTATCCTGACGATGAGAAGAGGCCGCCTATCAACCAAGGCCTGAATCGTGAGGCACAAGTCACCCTCGAGCAGGTATGGCCCGTGGACAAGACCCAGCCTGTGCCTGTTGTGAAGGATGCGCAGCGTCTGATCGAAATGAATTGGGAGGGACATCTGCGTTGCGCCTGCTATGCAAACGATACGCGCTTCGTCGAGTATCGCCCAGAGACCGGCAGTTGGGTGTTTTGTGTGAAGCACTTCTCCAAGTACGGCCTGGACGAGGACGATAACAAGATGACGCTCCATTCGTTGCGGCCCAGCGTGTATCCGATGATATGCGGCACAAGGTTCCGCGGCCAGTGACATCCGCGCGCACGCTCTTCTTCTTCGCGAATTCGTTCTTTGACAGAAAACTGCTGGTTTGGTATTTTCGGTATTTTTATGCGGCCTAGCCCGAAAAATACCATTATATACCAGCAAGTTGTTCAAAAATACCAGTATATACCATCTGGTATTTTGTATTTTCAGGAAATACCTTTGCGCGGTCACATAAATATCGCCGATATATTTTTGTAGTTCGACAACCCTAGTGCGAAAGTGCCATCACAATTGTTCACATTTTTACGAGATGTCTGCGGCCACAAAATTACATAAAACAAGCTGGTGTGCCCTAAGGCAGCTACAGCAATACAGAACAAAAGGTAAGCGTGGTTAATTACTGGCACTTTTATTGATTAAAAGCAATTCAAGTGTATTTCACTAAATGCCGTTGTGTGCTCACGTTTAACGAGGCGGCTGTAGGCTCAGTGGTGACATGCTCGGCTAGAATCTGGCGAAAAAAGGCAGATTTATGTCATGGTTTTATTAATATGACATACATTTATTGCAGCAAACTTTTCCGCCGGTTCAGCGTCTATTGCCTCTCGGAATGAGCTGTTTACACAGGAGCAGCGCCGGCAACGGGATGCCGTTGGCCGTATTGACAAGATCGAGGTTCGTTATTTGGGCCTGCCCGAGGATGTGACTCTGGTGATGAACAACCACATCTCCACGCCGTTCAACTGCGCTCAACACTTGGGTGAGGGACATTGCAGACGCTCGGCTTTGGCTCTGATCGATGGCAGTGTTCCGTGGGATATGCACAGGCCGCTGCAGGAGTCTTGCACCTTGCAGCTGCTTAACTTTAATGTCTCCGAACCGCATGTGGTCAACAAGTAAGGATATGGCGCAATTAAGTCAAATTTTGCTCATCTCTGTTCCATTTTGCAGGGCCTTCTGGCGTACATGCAGCTTCATGCTGGGCGCTGCTTTGACTCGGGCATTTAAGACGGAAGCGAACCTCCAATTGCACAGCTTTCCGGGGCCAAACAGTAAATCCAATGCTTAAATTCTGTTAATCTCTGCTCTAACAAATCTCTATCATAGTCAAGTCGGGTAGCTTTGTCCACGATATTGTGCTAGAGACCCAAAGCTGGCAGCCATCGAAGTCGGAAATGCGTGCCATCTCGGCCGAAATGGTCAGACTGGCGGCCCAGGAATTGCGCATCGAACGCTTGGACGTGCAGCAAGAACTCGCCCAGGAGATGTTTAAGGACTCGAAATACAAGAGCGAACAGTTGCCCAGTATTGCGCAACAGAGTAATGGGCGAGTGAGTCTGTACCGACTGGGGGACCACATCGACATCTCGCGGGGACCCATGGTGGCCTCCACTCACTTCCTGGGCAAGTGCACCGTCTCGGCAGCCCACAAGGTGGCCGATGAAGGGGCAGCAGGAGCCTTCTATCGCATCCAAGGCGTGGCCCTGCCTTGTGGCTTTAAGTTGAATCACGTTGCGTATGGCTTTTTGGAGGAGCGATCGCAGAAGCTGGTAAGAACTTAATGGCACTAATTGACAACGTCGGTCCCCTTGCTCATGTTTGATTTTTGCAGAACCCCGCTCGCTTGCCCCATGAACCCTTTGAGGAGCAACAACAATTGCAGTTATCTTAAACAGTTTTTTAATAGATAAAGCTATTCAATAAGTTTTAACAGGTAATTCATTAAAGAGCGCCCAGCCAGCCCAATTCGTTATGAAAACGGACCAACAGAAACTTTGGATATCGATTCCCATTTACTTTCCGTCTTAAACTAGCCTAACATATCCTTAACCTATTTGCTGTTACGACAGTCGCATCAATTTGGTAATTGGCTTAAACTTGTACATGCTTGGGGAAGAGGACGACTCCCACTCAAGTGGAGATTTCAAAGATGCTTAAAGTAAATTATCTACAACAATAACAGATGAACTTCCTCCAGTGGCCAGCTTGAGATTCTGAACTTGTCTTCAGGAATGTCTAGAAGCTCTTGAACAGTCCCTCCAGGTCGTGTTCGTTCAGGGCAATGATCAACATGATCAGTCCGCCTAGGAATATTCCGAATATCTGGATTAGAATACCCTTTGGATCGTTCGCCATATCCGGATTGTGGGCCACACTCATTGTGGGCACCAGATCGGCAAAGGCAATGTACAGGAAGGAGCCGGCGGTGGCTGCATAAATCCACTGCGTCATCCCATCTCCAATACCGGCAATGAATAGACCCACAGCCATGCCAACAAAGCTCAGAACCGAGCTAACCAGGTTCATGTAAATGGCTCGCCTCATGGAGACACCCGTCTGCAAAAGGAGAGCAAAGTCGCCCAACTCGTGCGGTAGCTCGTGGCATAGGACGGCGAATGCCGTGGCCAGACCTGTCACAGGATCACTGGCAAAGGCGGCTCCAATGGCTAAGCCATCGGTTAGATTGTGCAGCCCGTCGCCAATGATGACCATGAAGGCCACAGGAGTGAGTGGTCGCTCTGGTGATTTTTCGTCCAGCTTCGTCTCCTGCAGCATCACATTCAGCTCACGTGGAGCCGGTGGCTCTGACGCTGGCTTCTCCACCTGCTGGCCATGTGAGTGGCCATGACTGTGCCCATGTCCATGGCTGTGCCCGTGGCTCTGCTTGTCGCCCTTCAGCAGCGGAATTACGTTCTCCAGCATGTACATGAACAGGGCGGCCAGGAAGGAACAGCCACACAGCAAGGCCGCCTCATTGCTGTGCTTGTGTGCGGAATCGGTCGCGCCATCTGCGTCTAGGGCCTGCTCGTGCTTCTCCTCTTTGAAGAGAGCGTGAGGAAGCAAGTGCATCAGAGCATCTCCGGCCAGTGTGCCCACAGCTACGGATACCAGAAACTTGAGAATCTCCTGATAAGCTGTCGTTTTCATCAAAGGCACCAGGAGAATGCCCAGCAGACCGCATGCAGAGAGCACAAACATGGAAATACTGGCATAGATCCAAGCTGAAAGTGGTTAAATGGTTAGACCGCATGAGGGATCCGCATGAGGGACAGCCACGTGGCAGCCCTATTCACCTACCATCCCAAATCTTCTGGTTCTTATCCTGAGGAATGTGCAGGCGTGGAGCAGGCTGTGCACACACTCCGCCGTCGATTTGGGCCAGCAGAGCTGGACAAAGCTTCATGAATGCTCTCGGGGTGATCCGTACCGAGTTGATAAAGTTGTTGTACTCCTCATCGGAGTTGTGTGTGGTCTCCGTCGGAACGGTGGAGTCCTTCTTGATTAGCTTCCGGTAAATGCTGTTACTGTGCAGATCATTGTGGTCCACAATCAGGGAAAGCAAAAGCTTCGGTGACAAGCAGGCGGCAGCAGGCCAGGGTCTGCCATCGACTAGAAATTAAATAGAGTGGAGAATGTCGATTTGTTACATACGTTTCTTGCTGATTAATATTTACACTAGCTGGTATGATATCCCGTATTGACATTAGCGGGTTAACCCCTTCCCAGCATACAAATACGAGTAGCTAGAAGCGCACGAGAGCTGTAGATGTGCCCGGCTCCTTTTGTTCACTCAATCACACAGTCAATTGACACCCGATTCGCATGTGCATGTGGGAACACTTAATGAATTGTCCCGCCTTTGTCCCGCTTAGTGCTAACTGTTTATGGAGAGTCGTTTTAATGATTGTGTACATTGCAATTAACGGTAAATCTCGGTTCCAGCAACGAAAACACCAACAGCCGTAAAGGCTTGTTCTAGTTCCACTTTGTTGAATGGATGATTTTATACGACAATTTGTTTTCGACTTCCGCGTCCATAATGGGGTCGTTTATCGTTTTATCGCCCTGTGGACAAGGATTTTTCCCACCTGTTGATTTGCCATCGCATCTCACTGCCCAAAAGGAGAGTGAGACACGATGGCCGTACGTTTTCAGATAATTTATGCGGCAAGGTCGCACTTACAGACGGAACTTCCTCTCATCCAAATGAGTTGGATAGCATAATTGAATTTATTACGAGTACATATGTACATATGTGTGCATGTGGATGCCGCTGGCCCTGCCCCTGCCCCTGCCCTGACTTGCACTTGGAAACTGGCCAATTGAGGTAAATATGTACATAGACATATGTACAAGTAGAGTCGGGCCCCGTTCCTTCTTCATATATGTATATGTGTGATGTATATTGCGGCTTAAGAATTTCTCTACGACCTAAGTGGAACTGTCTCTCAGGTAATACTTTGTTGTTGTCACTTGCTCATTATTGTCATTCAAGTGCACATACTGTCATGATCACTGAGGGCTCTTGGGTATTCTATAATTATTGTCTGAGCTTCCATCCTATCCTACTGCTTATGGCTCTTCTGTCTTAGCTTTGTGTACTCGAATCTATGGTATTATCAGGCCACTCTGATGAGTGCAAATACTCAGGTGTCTGATAATCCAGATCCATAAAGATAAAGACTGAACTACTCACCGCTACTCTCCCTCGGATGCCGATGCTTGGGGTCGTGTATTTCTAGAAACTCGGGAACCGCAGACCCCGACGCTGAGTTATTTGAGGTCTTTGCTGATATCTGCACATCCAGAACATCCTCATCGGTGGCATTAGCTGTGATCTGTTTGTCAAAGTAGGTGCCATTAGTGCTGGCTTTCGTTTCATTGGAGTAGCCCTGGGCTCGGTGCTCATCGATGGTGTGCGAGGGGTCGAACTCGATCTGGCCCAGGTTCAAGCTGTACATTAAATGCTCGAGACCCTGTACGGATAGTATTGACAAAATAGAATAATTAGTGAATAATGCAACTCTCTTTGCTTCGAATATGCATTTAGTTTAGTAACAGGAAACAACAGCTGTCAGCTGTTCTTCCATCTTAGTTAATTAATGATCTAGATCTCGCATTTTCCCTATATATTTACGTACAGATGTATGTAGATCGCAGCCTAGTGTACTTTCCCCAAGATAAAAATTAACTATATCTTCCATTTATAACTATTATTACTCTCAAATTCTCTGGACTTCATAGCCTGATAGCGTGGTAATGGGTAGGGGGGAGTCGGGAGTTTCGGTGCAAATCTAATACCACAGATAATTACTTGATTTAGTTGTCACCGTGCCAAGCAATTATATTTACATGTGAATTAATTAGTGGTTCATTGTTACTATTGTTGGTTTTGCTGCCGCATTTTTGCTGTCTCGAAAGTGGAGCTGTGAGGGGAATATTTATAGTATCTAAATGCCTTGACAGCTGTCTGTCGCCGGGAGTGGGCGTGTGCCCTGTCGATTGTACCAGGCGCTTAGTAAGCAGTTAGCTAGAGATTCCTCTTCCAAGATGAGGATCGTGTCTACAAACAATATCCAAACACGCGCTGGTACAATAAAACCGCCAAAAAGACCAAACAAATGAACCTGTCTGTTTATTATGGAACACATGAAGTTACGAGGCTCCCCTACCCGTCCCTCATCCAACGCCTTATAGCTTATTTTTACTTTCATTCAGCAAAATTGTTTGTGTGCCAAGTACTCGGCATAATATGCAATTGAAATTGGCGATTTTATAATGATAATAGAATACCCTCTCCTGTCCTCTCCACACAGATGGGTGGGGCGGAGTGGGGGGCCACGCGTCCCCCGCCTCTTTGAGTATGCCGAGTGCGTAGAAACATTTTAGTAACCTGCCATTAAAATGGACAAAACGTATTGCGTAGCGCTACGCATGAGTAATGCCAATTTCCAGGGAGCCTCTCTGTAACTATGGACCCCATAAGCATAATGCATTGCGAATGTGGATGATGGAGCTACTGCTTGGCTTGGGGCCAACGGGCCTCCCGTTAGATTTCGAATTCGTCAGCTGTTAGGCTGTCTACCCTCATTAGGAGAATAGCTCTTATCGGAGTAATCTTTTGAGCTTGTTTTGGATAGAGGCTCTACGTGTCTGCGAGGGTCTGCGCCGTCCATGCTGGATGCTCAAGTCTCGGTGTGTACACACATATATCACAATGTGTGCTTGTGTCTGGATTTTGATTAAATTTATGATAATGCCCGCAATAAAGTCTCCACGTTTCTGTCATGAGTTCCATAAGAGAGTGGCGACGGAGGTGACTGCTATCCAAGTCCCCCCCCGTAATTGTGATAGTGTTGGGGGTCCATAAAGATTGCAGGTTTCATGCAGCTAAGCGATTATAACTGTTGAGAGTTTATTGTTTGTTGATTTGTTTGGCAAGAACAGAATCCGCTCTGTCTTCAGACAGAGCCACAGCACAGCAATGTTTCACTTTCACAATACGCAAATATTTGCCTTGCTCTAATTTATTGTTTCCCCTGTCCCGTGTCACCTTCTTTTACCGACTACCAGTTTTTGGTTTAGCTGCTCGTTGGTGCATGATGACCGGTCCACAAAAACTCACTAATTGTTTGCCATAACATCAGCCAAAAAGCGGCAGAGTCCGTGTCCGTGTCCGGCTCTGTTTACCTCGGCTCATATTTCCCCTCTTTGTGTGCGTTTACAAGGCTAGTTCGATGGGTAGTTGTTGTTGTTGTTGCTGTTGCTGTTGCTGTTGTTACCTCAAAGTTGATGGTCCCGCCATCACCGTACTTTTTGAATATCTGCTCCAGGTAGCGGTTGTACTCCAGGGAGCTGTGCGCCGCTCCCAGGAGTGCCCCGAGGCACAGGAGGCGTACAATTAGCACGGGTTTTGGGGCCATTTCAATAACTGAACACAAATGTGGTAAACTTTATTGAACGTAAAGCTGAACCGAACCCTACTGGGGGGTGATCGTCATTTCACGGATTTCACGCGTGCGTTCCGTTTCGACGACTGCCTATCCCGCTCAACGGTCTTTTTTGAATGACGGTATCGCCTACGCAACGCTTTTATACGACGGAAAGGAACGTGCTTCTCGCTTGCTCCATCTCTCTCTCTCTTTATCTCTCTCCCTATGGCTCTGCGCACGCGCCAGCCACTTGCTTAGCAGTTGGTTTTGGCGAAGCTTTTCGTAAAGCTTTCTTTTGACTCGACCGTTCCTGCCTCTCTTCGCGCTCTTTCACATTTCTCTGGCGTTTATATATATTTTTAATTTAATTCTTATACAGAAGAAATTCGGTTTTTACATTTTGCAAAAATTACTTCGGGCATAATAAAATAATTACTAAATTATTTCTTAATTACAGAGACGTACATATGTACGGGTGCAAATGTACTATGTTAAAATAGGTAAAATATTGGGTATTGTGGGTATTGTGTCGTGTATTTTTTTGCTTGTGTTTCCGAGGAATTGTTTTTGTTGTTGTTTTTTTTGGTGGGGGAGAGAGACAAGTAATATTAAAATTATGAATAGGTAATTATAATAATTCGCGCAAAGTTCTGCTGCCAGAATGCCTTTGAGTTATTTACAATAACACTTTTGTAATGTTGTGCGTTGAATTCAAAATCTCCAAATTTCTAATCTAACTTAGCGATAGCTTGAGACTTGGGCCCGATCGATGCATTCGCGGAAGGCACCTTTCCTTCTTTTCCTCTCTGATCCAGTCTCTAATCGAACTTCTCCTGATTGGGCATGCAAATAAAGAACTTGGAGCACCACAGATTGATGGACTGCGAGGTGTCCGCCAGCCACTTGACCGGATGGTGAATGGTCAGATAGTAGACCGGAATGCCGGACAGGATGATTATTGTGCCAATGCCCACTTCGTAGGGCGACTGCGAGAACGAGGATATCACCAGGAAGAGGCAAACGATCAGATAGATGATCGGCAGGGCCAGGTTGACCCGTATGGGCCGCTCTGTCTTGGGCTGCTTATAGCGCAGCCACAGCAGACCCGACACCGAGATGAGCGTGAACAGGGCCTCCACATAGCTGACGTAGTTGATCAGCACGTAGGTGTCCTTGATGAACAGCAGCAAGAGGGTGAGAACGCCCTGCAGGAGATCAAAAGTAGGTTAAGAAACAGTTTCTGTATTGGCATAGGATCAGATCAAGTTTGACTCACCAGGAATATCAGCGATGGCACCGGGGTAAGACAGTTGACATTGATGAGGGAAATGGCCGCCGGCAGGTGTCCGTTGCGTGCCCCCACGAAGAACAGTCTGGACGATGCAAAGATGGCGCCATTGAGAGAGCCAAAAGTCGAGCAGGCTACGGCAAAGGGCATCACCCAGGACATATAGTCAAGCATCTTGTCCCCAAAGGTGACGGCCACCGCATCCGATGAGAGTATTTCGTCGGTGGACAGCACCGAAAAGTAAGCAACGTTCGTGACCATGTAGATGATCGTCACTACGGGCATAGAGATGCAAATGGCTTTGGGGAGATTGCGATAGGGATCCTTCAGCTCCTCCGTGACAAAGTTGAGGTAATTCCAGCCGGAGTAGGAGAAGAGGCCACTGTAGAACGCTAGGGCAATGTATCCCGGGGAAAGATTGCCCCCGCTGAAGGGCTTATCCCAGTGCTCCGTATTGCCATCGGCCAAGTACCAGACGCCTGCGCCGACAATAACTAGAAGGGCCACCACCTTGGTGCCCGTGAATATGTCCGTCACACGTGTCACCCACTTGACATTGTAGCAGTTGATCACGGTCAGCACACCTAAGGGCCACAAATGTCAATCACAATTAGTATACGTAAGCTGCTCGATGGATTATTATTATTATTATTCCTCTCTTCGCTTATCTTCACAGACTTACATATCATGGCAGCCGCCAGCAGCTGTACGGCCTCGGCGGGCGCCTCGCAGGAGGGCCAGAAGGGCTTCAGAAGGTACTGGGCAAAGGTCAGGGCCGTGATAGCATTTCCCGTGGGCACCAGAATCAGCAGGGCGACCCACAGATAAAGGAAAGCAGGCAGCGGACCAAAGGCTGTGCCAATGTAGGCGTAATCTCCTCCGGATTTGGGTATCATTGTGCCTAAAAAGAGAGAAGAGATAGTAGTAAAATCGTGGGGAGAAATACACATATATGGGAGCGATATATAGTATAAGAGAGCTCTGACATGCTCGTAGCTCTGCCCTGCTCATCGTTTCTTATCTTGCTGCGAGGGTTGTTCGAATGATAATGATTTAAACAGTAGGTTCGAGGAAGAGGGTGGATTGTGCATAGTTTATATGGCATATGCTTATTATTTAAACTGTAATTGAGTATTTCCTCTAAACGTTAAATTCTACCTATTTAAAAGGTCCTGTTGCTGAATCATTGGCGAGTCCCGACCTGTGTGGGACGAACAAAACTACAGGAGCAGTGTCTGCTCAAAGGTATTCAAAGAGGTATCTAACGTACCATTGATAAGGATCACTGATATTATAATCAATATTATTAGACCCCGTAACTCCAGTTGCGAGCAAGTCTGTTGTATTGCGTGCCAGCTTTTAAGAAAATTTACAAAACTGGTTCTAAGTCGAAGCGGTACAATAAATAAAGAGAAATATGAGAAATACAGACAATACAATACCCTGATCATTTTAAGCTCTTTTAGGGGATCGCCAAAATTTCAGGGTCTAACCTTTGGAGCGAGTGTTTACTGTACCAAGAAGGGACCCACGTTAATTTGCTGCTAATTCAATGTTGTGTCTGACTCGGCTACTTTTCTGCTCCTCCCCCCTCCGATTTCATTCAAGCGAACAGTTTCTCGGGGAACTGATTTGGTGTGTCTATTGAAGAGGTCATCTTGATGAAGCTGAACTAATTTCCATTTTTAAAACGAGTCTCCCCAGAAATTGCTCAGAGTAACTATATTACTGTGAGTGTTCCCTCTCTCGTTGATCGTGTCATTGTACAGATTCTTTACTCTCGGTCTTTGAGGCATAGGCTCCGTCAAAAAGGGGAAGTATATTGTACATATGTATATGTGTATATGTATGTATGTACATTTATGATGTACAGTGTATCTAGGGGCTAACATTAATATTTGGATGTAACAAGAATTCCATAATATGGATTAAAGACCCTATTGCCGAATAGTTACACGTCTGTTTAGCCCTAACCTCATTAGCGGAATTTAGTTGGCCTCAGCGTTTTAATGAATGCTCGTTCTTGATCCAGTTGTGATGCGTGCCCCACCTCAGGTGCTACCACGCTTGTCTTACACTCATTTCACCTATGTAAACAAGCCCCCTCCTCTATTACACAGACTACTCCACTTTCCATATGCTGACCCATAAAGTGCTGTCATCAGCCGGAACCAATAACTGCCAGCAACGCAGAACCGCCGACCGGGCGTGGGCTTACGAGTAAACGAGTATTATCAACAACAACAAAAAGAAAAGCCTTTACATGGACGGTCCGGTCCCATTACTCACCCAGTTCCGCGTAGCACAGGGCGCCGACCATGCTGAGAACACCACATAGCACCCAGACGATGAGCGATTGTCCAATTGAGCCGGAGAACTTGAGCACACCTTTGGGGCTGACGAAGATGCCGGAGCCCACGATGACACCCACGATGATGGCCACGCCATCGAGCAGGCCGATCTGCTTCTTGAGCTTCACCCCGGAACCCTGGCTGTCACTGTCCGCGGAGGACTGGTTCTCCCGGCTCGACTGCTCGGCGGGAGGCATCTCAAATATTTGTCGGGGTATAAGAGAATCGCTCGCTTGAATACGCGCCATTATACACAACTTTGGTTTGGGCTTTGCTCAAGAAAGAGACTTGAGTTAGGGGTTGCTGTCGAGGGGTTCTTGAATCCCTCTAGGATTTCCTGTTTCTTATAGCGATGGTTATTGGTGTTCCTTGTTTTGATTTTTACTTTTATTTAAACTTTTGCAAGACCATTGCTCTATGCGGTCTCCAGAGGGGTTTTGCGTTACTTGTTTTATCAGCACGGTTTCAGCGTGCTCAGTGCCAGCGTGGAGCTCGTCCGACGATTCAAACACAGTTCTTTTTATTTCGCGCTCTTCCACATGCTTTTATTCAGTTTTTCTGTTTTCAGCTTTATTTTATACTCGCGCACACACACGACACTCCACTCTCGCACATGTACGTACATATGGTGTATGGAAATGTAGCTTATCGGAAACACACGTGGTGTCTTTCAAAGGGGCAGAGCTGGCTGAAGAGGCATCTTCGAGGGCTACCGCAGTCACTATGGATATAAACTATAACAGAGACAACGAGTGCAGGCCTCGATAAACTATGTGTGCATGTGTATATTGTAAATAAACTTCGATAATGCCATGCCGGGTGGACGACAACCGCTCCATGCACGCGCTCTGTTCAAAGTAAGTTTGGAATTCATTTTTAGCCCCCTTTATGAAGCGGGTCTGGGTCTGCGTCTGTCTGGCTGCCGGTCCGCTGCCGCGTCGCGCTCTCTGCAGTGCTCAGAGCATGGCATGGCTAACTATGGCTTTGCACTCGGCTGCGGTGTTGCGGTGCTTGGCTCTCTCCAGGTGCTCTCTTTACCTGTCGCTCCATATTATGCCTATCCTATCTGTGTGAATGGTGTATGGCAAACAGTTTCTAGCAGGCAGCGCATCGCCCTGGCAGAGGAATATGCTTCGGCCTCTTCTCTATCGCATGATGCAAGAACCAGCAACCATTTCAATAGACTTGCGACAAGACCTCAGGCCCAGGCAGGAAAGTTTACTGCCAAAAATACTTGAGGCCGCAGCACGTGTGGCGGGCAAAGAGAAGTTTTGTATGCTTCGCTGTCTCTTCAGACAACGGAATCGCTCTTAGTCTGTTAGAGTCTGTTAGTCAACGACCTTTAATATGATATAAATGGAATGTTGATTTTGGCATCTTACCTATCAAACAAAAAGTTGCTATTGGGCTTGTTGAATGGTTTTATGGGACAAAAAGTGTTTATAAAACTTGCTAATTGCTTAGGCCAACACTCAATAATTATTCGGATTTGAGCCGTTTTACGCGATATTTATGTACATTAGCTTTATATTATATTAGCACATAGTAGGAGGTAAGAATCCATTTTATTCCCCAGGATTCTAGAGCCATCTAGGATTACTAGCAGGAAGATAGAGTGGGAAAATGGAGGATAAAGACTGTCAACTCTTACGATTCGAATAATAGAGCTAGTTGTAGGAAGTAGGCTACAAGAAATCATAATCTCTTGTGGCTTATCGATGAATCAAATTTCAATTGTTAACCTTATACAATATGTATATTGCTTTCACTTATGAGGTCTCTGAGTTAGCTCGCCTGAGTAGGCGATGCGATACGAATGATCTACCGGATGGGGGTTTCACCGAACATCTTTCGTTGCTCATTTTCCCGAAAATGCTTCTCACTGATTAGCCCCACAGATTCGGTAGTATTTTACACGCAACATATGTGAATATATGTACATATTTGTGTGTGTGTGTGCTTGTATGTATATGTACGTATAGTAAAAATATTTGTGGGACTTTTGTTAAACACTTGAGCGGATTATCATGAATAAAGTTGGATTAGAGGAGCACGGGGAACAACAGGAACGGACCCATAGCTAGGCGCGTGCATTTGACATTTCAAACTGTGATAATTCAATTGTGGGCTGTGTACTTTTAGTACCCCGACGAATATCATCTGGACTAGCTCCTCGATCAGAGCTCTCTCGTCATAAAAAAAAACACAACTAATAAACAAAATAAATGTAGCGCCTCTGCAGGTTATAGTATCTCTGCTCTGCTCTGCTCCTCTGGTAATCTAATTGTGAGAGACACACACAGAGCGCGATTTTGTCCAGTGTTCGCGTCCGCGTCCGTAACCATAACCGCATTTATGTGCACATATACAGCGGGTTCGGGCCCCCGTTTGCAGTTGATTAACTGTGATTTCGTGTGACTTTTATTGTTGTCGGGTTTACTTTATTTTATTTTATTTGATTTTTTCAAGTTTTGCGCGCCACTCACACATCGAAGTCCACAGAATATATGCTCATGTGGAAGGAGAAATATGATGGATCACTTCCATATGCAATTTTCGTTAATATTTTTTGTGTTGCTTCCATTATGCCACGAGTCATGTGTTTTCATGATCAAGCTTTACAGTGTAAAAGACGCTTGGGCATATGTACATATATGTTTGTACATATGTATGTATTTACTGGTTAATATTAATAAAGGCTTTATTTTTGTTAAATATATCCTTTTGGGGGATCCTCTTAATTCTCGTGGAACACAACACTATCTAGGCTATCTAGAAAACTCGTACTGCTTCGTATCGCTTGCGAGCCCCAAGAGATTTACTTGTGCGAGTATCCCGCTCTATGGAGAACCAGACGCACTCAAAACCCGAATCAGACTGAATCTGATTTGCATCGGCGGGGCATCATGCCCTCGGCCGAAAAGCTTGAATAAAATAATAAAACAACAAAATAAAGACAAATATGTAAATCCAAAAATGTGTTGTTTTTGTCGGACAATTGTTTCACTTTGTGTGGGGCCCTGTGTGTATGGGTGAGGTGAATGATAGCGGACAAACAAAGTGTACGCCTCTCTGGCACCCCATCATGGCACGCATGCCCCCACCTTAAGAGCGGGGACAGTCCCAAGAGTCCAAAGAGAGAATACAGTAGCTTAGTTCTGATGGATAACCTTTGCCAAGGCAACGCCTGAAATATAGGAACCCCCTAAGGAGCAACAGCTTAGGCCAGTGCTCCCTTAATACATTTACATTGAACTTATCCTTTACATTCATATGCATTGTCTATTTATGTACATATACTCGAACAGCACGTAATCGTTTCTAGCACCAACATTAGTCGCCCAGCGGCGGAACCTTAAATATCTTAGCAGTGGTGTCCTCAGATACGGACAACAGCAGGTTATCCAGAGGCTTGTAGGCTAATTCGTAGATGTGATAATAGTGTCCAGTGAGGGTGAACTTCAGGCTGCCAGTGCGGGCATCGAATACATTCAGATTGCCGTTCGATGTGGCCGCCAGGATAGTGTTGCCGTTCAACCATTTGAGTCTGAAATAGCCACGTAAAACGTTAACAAAATTTAGCAACTCGCGAGAACAGGGGAGGAAAGTCACCTAAGGACGCCATCGTTGGGCACTGGATTCTCGCAGACAGTGCGCAGCGAATATTTTGAGTAGTCCCATATGGATATGTGACCGTCCAGCGAGCCGCAGGCAAATAGCTTCAAGTCCGACGAAGCGGGAGCAAAGGCAATGCACTCGATGCCGTGCTCCGACTGCACAACACTGACCGGTCCACTGTTGGTGCAGAATAGAAGCTTTCCTAAAATTGTGATTGAGTCGGATTAGAGAGCCACCTATTCAGCTGTTCCACTGGTTTCTCACCTCCTCCCTCGGCGCAGATGTAGAAGGGCGAGTCGAGTTCACAGGCCACCACTGCGTGGGTGACCTCTCCGAAGCCCATCGGGTGCTGCTCGTTCACCTCCATGAGCACCTGGCAGGTCTTCAGGTCCCAGAGCTTGACGACGCCATTCATGTAGGCTGTTAGCAGCTTCTTGCCGTCGCCGCTCAGTTCTCCGGACTCGCACCGCTCCCCCTGACCAGCTAGGATTTTGCAATCACCGCTGGGAATGCGCCATACGTAGACCTCGCCGGTGTCGCTGCCCGCCAGGAGCACATGGGCACCGCGATGCCAGAAGAGCCAGGACATGTCGGACATGGAGTACTCCCAGACCTTGGTCAGGATGGGTCGCTCCTCGCGCACCTCGCTCACTTTGAAGACATTGATCTCTCCGGCAAGATCTCCCGTTACCAGGTAGGCGCCATCGTGGCTAAAGTGAGCCTCGGTGACGGTGTCCTTGTGGTCGGTGATCTTGTAGAGCACCTCGCCGCTGCTCGTGTCCCACACAAAGGCCAGATCGTCCTCGCTGCCCGTGACCGCCCAGCTATACTGCGGATGCATACTGCAGGCGAAGACCGGCGCTGTATGGTTGCGGAACGTGAGCACCGCATCGTCCTTCATGTTCGCAATGCGCTCCCGGTCCCGGATGGACTCTTCATCCATATCATCATCATCGTCGTCGTCGTGAATGCCCAGACGTGCCTCCAGCTGCTCCAGTGTCACCTCCTCTAGTTCATCCTCGTCGTCGTCTAGTGGCGGCGCGGCATTCGCGTCCAGCTCTATCTCCTCCAGTATCTCATCGTCGCCGTCTTCAAAGTCCGGGCGATGCGGTGGCGTATTGTCGCGCATAATCGGCCTGAATCGTTTGTTTATTGTTTTATTTTTTATTTAAAAAATGTAAACAACACGTGGTTGGCGAACAGTGTGACCGGGACGTATCGACAAAAATAAACCGTCCGACCCTCAGAAATATACCGAAATATACTTTCGCATTTTCAAAATATACCGTAAATAAACCGATGAAATATTATAACGTTAACGTTTTAACTTACGTAGGTCGTACGTGGGTAACAGTGCTGGAAAACATGACTAGGACGCGGGATATTTTAAATATTTCTTGAAATATTCGTAAAGTACATTTTTTTTGGAGCGCTCTGTTAGCTCGCGCGCTCTCCCATGCCCTTCGCTCTCGCGCGGCGTGGACGCGATCCACTCGGCGCTCCATCACGGGCGCTAGCCGTAGGCCGAGCGGGAGAGAACAGTCTCTCGACACCTACGCGCCTATCTACAACCAGCCCTCAGCTTTGTGCACGCCAAATACACCAGAATTATAGTTGACGCCCCCGCCTTTTTATTTATTGGGAATCCGAACTGTGGGAACGACCAACATCCACCCTCCTACAAAACAATTTCAATGTAAGGCAAGATAGTTCTTTATGGCGATGCCGCCATTGCCTTGACTCTCTTCTGGAGTTCCGCCATGGTTGGCAGCTCCCCCCAGTCGCAGACAGTGTTGCATTTTTTTGCATCCGCTTCGGTCTTCTTGATCCTCGCGTTCAGCTCACCTAGACGGTCTCTCATATGCTGCTCCAGTCCGCCGAGTCGGTCTAAAAGGAGCTGTTCGTAGGTCTGGTTCTTGGGGCGGAGTCCATTCAGCTTCACCTCCAGCTGGTTCATTCTCAGGGTCAACTCTTTTAGCGACTCATCCGATGGCTCTTCAGAAATTACGGCCAAGTTCACATCTATCTGTTTCTGTTCGACCGTAAAATCGTTGAGTCTTTGCCTTACCTGGCTTATAGATCTGAGATGTGCTGCCCAATTTAGTGACTCTAAAAGATCAACTATTTCTAGAACTTTATTATTCATTTGGTCCACTTGTTCCTCCAGTAGGCTTACACTCGTCGATTGTTGTCCGAGTCTTTGTTTCTTCTGACTGGGGCAAACGTCTCCGCACAAAGATGTGATTTTTCGGATATTTGCTTCCTCAGCAATCAGGAAGCTTTCGGTACTTGTTAGAGTTCCATTTGTTTTGGTCAGCTTTTCCTGAAGAGAGCCAACTATATCGTTTTTTGACTCACCCAGTGCGTCACTTGATTTCAAGCCTTCCAAGAGCTTTTCTATATTTTCCACAATTTTTTCATTATTCTTACAACAATCTTCTGTGATCTCAGCAGCTTGAGTGCTATGTAAAGCTTCTAGTTTTTGTATAATCTGCATTTGATCTGAACTGAGCATCTCCAAATCCTTTTGCTTGTTGGTCAAGGCTGCCGTATCTAAAATGGAGGTGTTCGCTCCAAGTTTTTCAACATGTTTCGCCATCTCAACTTGGAAAGTCTTGAACTGCTCGGACCAGGCGGGGCAGCACTTTCCTACGGAACGATTTCCCCTTCCTGCACCCTTGGCTAGCTCTAAGCTTAGGTACTCCAACCTCCTCTTTAGATTATCAAAGTCGGAGCCCATAAAACCCGTGGACTGCGCTCTCTTGTAGGGCTCTATGCTGTGAAATTCCAGTATGAAATCGATGCCGTCATGGACTACTTCCACCCGATCTCGGACGGGCTCATAGGGACAGCAACTTCCGCGTTCGTGGCGCTCGAGCTTATCCACAATTGGCGACAATTTCTTGATTAGTTTATGCAGACCTAAAGTGCCATTGATCTGATGATTTATCCATATTCCGATTTCGGTATTCGCATTGCAACCTGCAGTCGACGGGGAAATCGTTGTCGATGCAATTTCTATAGATGTCGTTGTTGCTGTAGTAGTTGTTGTCGTTGGTTGTGGTGTCATTTTAGATTTCATGCTTCGATAGCATGTTACTGTCTTTCGGAGATGGAGCATCCCCCACAGATCGATCTTAATGGCGTTGTCGTACTCCTTGAGGATGGGGACGAATTTCTCGACGAGGAAAAGGTTTTTCACCTCCGTTTCCCACTCGGCCACAGCAAGCCAAAACTTTTCTAGCTCTTTTTTACTGAGGCCAGGAGGAATGCATTTGGCCTTTCTGTAATCCACCTTGATGCCACCGTAGAAATAGTCCGGTCCGTGGAAAGTGAGGTCTTCGTTTAACTCCTCGTCGTTGTCCTCGTATTCAAAATCGCCGTATTCGGGCGGCGAATCCCAGATAAGGCGGCACATCGCAACAATCTTGACGCATTGTTCAAATTTTTGTGATTGGGTCAAGCTTCTGGCTGTGATTTCCTGACTGGAAACCGCTTGGGCTTCCCTGGGCTGGTAACTACCAGCTACCAAAACCAAGTGGAGTACCAAATAATATTTTTGAACCTGCTAGGGGTGGTTTCTTAGTAAGTCTAGTTGCGCTCTGGGGCTGGGGCCTATTTACCATTACGTGACTGCTGGCCTGTCTTTTTGATTTGCACCTGATTGCTTTCATTCTCTGGCCTATTGATACTCGTAGGTGCCCCTCAACTCAACCAACCTTTTATAATTCAATTGGAAATACCGGTACCTTGGGGTGCCAGCGGAACCTGCTCTATTGTTACCCTCTTCTAGGGTGCGACTGTTATTTCGTCTCGTGTTGGCCTTAGGTTTCGGGCTCGGTTCTCACGGTTCCTTCCGTGCGTGTCCTGCGCGTGAACAGCGTACGCATGGAGCATGTTCTCGCTACAAGGAAGGAAATGATTAGGGGAAGCGATCGGGGGTTATATGTATCTATGTATAATTTTTACCTGCTCCAGAGGGTGATTGTAGGGTTTGCTTGTTGATAAGAACCTTTATCATTGCTAACCGTTCCCCCGATCCCAGCCCATCCCGATCGATGGAGTGAAGTGTATCTCGATATTTGTTTCTGAATCGTTTCCACTGATTTTGTCCTATTCGTAAATAGTCCCGCATCTGATTGACTTGGTCATGAGCGAACGGTCATTAAACTTCTGTTCCAAAGGGGCGTAAAGTGGTCTTCTACATACATACATACATATGTGCATATGCATGCGTGCATGTATGTACATATGTACATATGTATATAAATATAAATGCATGGTGAATGCACATAAGAATGGAGAATGCGCCTGTGTGCGGCTGTGTGCTGCTGTGAGGGTCGTTTCTTGTTTTGGGGTCCGCGAGATCGTTAAAAACGAGTCACTGTGTGATGGCAATAGTGGGAGTGGGGGAGAGTGAGAGGTGCGGCGGACCCTCGAGATGCTGCTGCTGCGCTGTACGAGTACGTGCGTGTGGAAGAAGATTAAATGGAAACAAATCTCACACACAAATAAACACTATTGGGAAGAGTTTTGAACATTGTTGACCCGCCACGGCAGAGATACGAATGACCTGAAGCAAACAAAAAACAAGAGACCGATAGAGACACACAGAGAGAGAGAGAGAGAGAGATGGAAAAAAGGTGATAAACATAAAAATGGGTAGCCCAGTGACTGGAGATAACAAAAAAGGGCCTCAGGGCCCTGTCCCCTTCCCCTTCTCCTTCTCGCGTTCCGGCATAAATGCATTATACATCCACATGATAACAAATACACAAACAAACCAGAGACAGACCCATCGTACGTGTTTGTGTGTGTGCGTGTGTGAGAGTGCATGTTGCATGTTGCTTATCTCCATTTACGCGGCGCGACGTCAACGTCAGCGCAGGCCGCGACTTCTTGTATAAAATCAAGACGATCGCTGCCTCCGTCGTCAGTCGAAAGAAAACCGTTAAACGCATCATCTACTTCTGCTTCGTCGCTCTCACCCACCCAATACCCTGTGGGGGGAGGGAGAGAAAGGACACTGACGGAAAGTCAAGATGGTTGCAGCTTTAAACGCGCTCAAAGCGCAACCCCCCTACGTGACGCCCTACGCCACGTTACGTTGCGTTACGTTACGTTACTTTGGTTGGTACAGAAGCTTTAACACCGTTTGGCTCTCGGCCGCGTGCTCAGTCGGATCAGTGGAGCAGAGGAGCAGAGCGGCCTGCAGAGAGACAACAGGACCGGGCTGGAGGAAAGTGCAATGGGGCCTTGAAGGGGATCACCCACACACACGCACACGCACACACACACTCACAATGCAGATGCAGTTTTTGGCGTCCCTCAAGGTCGAATCCCCACAATTTAATGTGCAATATTGTATATTTGTTGTTATATACGTTCCTGGAACGTGCCGCTGTGATTGCTGCAATTATGGTTTATTCCGATTAATATCTAAGCTAACTCTTTTGTTTGCATTTGTTATGTTGTATTTACTTATTACGAATTGTTATTGCTTGTATACAATTATAGACTGATACGTTAGCGTTTTACATATCGCCGCCCAATACGGTGTAGATGACAACATAATCGCTTACGTCTTCCATTCTAGATAAGAGAATTAGTCTGTATAAAATTTAGTTTTTCTTATGATGAAATAAATCAACTCTTCATGGGGAAACTGAATAAAACTTAAATTTTATTATTTTATTGATTTCACATATGTATGTAGTTATTATTTTGACCAGTTGATATTCAAAGTTTTTGAGCTGTAGAAGCAAAACTAACCTCTGTTCAGAATTTACATTTGAAAAACATATATATATAAATATATGTTTTAATTTTTAATTCCCTAAAACATGTCGGAGCTAATCTTAGGATTGTGTGATGCGCTGTATCTCGGTTCAAGGCAACTAGAAGAGTTAAAATATTTGACATAGCAGGTCAAAAATGCACCGTTTCAAATTCTGGGAGGGTAAAGATATCAGGCAGCAAATATAAAGACATTTTGCAATTTTAAAATAAGAAGAATTGTTAAAGAAGCCAAATGTGAGCGGTATGACTTTTAAAAACGTAATTCAAAACTAGCTTAGGATGAAAACTTACAAAAAAAAAACGTATTCGAAGTCTAATTGAGGACCAACAAAAAATGCAGCAGGCAGGAAGAATTTGACACATTAGAGACACGCAGTTTCTTATGATGCAGAGAAACCGCAGATCAGAAAATGAAAAGTTGTATCCGAAGAGCATGGTAAATAGTCCAACTAATAGGAAAGAAATAGAGAGGTATCAAAATACGATATCTGTTATGGTTTTGGGGCCATATCCGTTATATGAAAAACACATTTTTCAAAATCATCTCTTTTTCTGTTTGATGAACCGGCATACGTACATATATCCTTTTCGGATCTGAATCAATTCAACTATGGGGTTTCATGGTGGGAATATTCCAAAGTCTAAAAAACATGAGTTGTAGAAATTTAACCGCCAATTGCAAAAAAATTGGGTAAGAAATTCCCGATAAGAGGGGCCATGCCGCTTGCATCTATATTTTTAAGCGCCTAAAGCTATTACGTTACGCATGGCTAACGGGGAAAGATCGAAAATTAAAAATTTGTAACCAAAGAATATTGATTAAAATACAAATAAAATGATTTTTTATTTATTTATCATGAAAAGTTAGGTGCGTCAGTTATTCGCAGCCACCATTTATATTATTCTTATAGGATTAAACAGATTAAACAAGGGAGGATATGATGATAGGAATATGGGTGATAAGTCGAGCAAAGGGCTGCTCGATTAAAGAGAGAACAATCTATTACGGACAATCCAAGAATCACATTTTGCATATATGTAAGCCTCCCAGATGAATTGAAATCTGTCTATAATTGTAACGGCCGACACGTCACTACAACGCCATATTGTAATGCCGAATATAGAATTTGTTAAGGCTGTTATTGCCACATATACAGAGTACCATTTTTTAGTTAACCATTTACACACATCTCCCACATGTATCAGGTATGTCAGTTGCATTGGAATTTCCCAGATATCCTCATGGTCGGCAGGCAAGCACGGCTACTCATATGGTTTGATCTCGCTCACGGTCCCCTCTTCATTGCAGAACCATGTGCTGGATCTTCCATAAAAAAAGCAACAAAATAAAATGTGTTTTTAAAAATGTTTATTTTTGTTAACAAGCAACGTTCACTCAAAACCTCGTCTTAACAATTTGTTCTCTTTTTTGCACAGCAAAAATGAAGAAAATTGTTCCTATTCTCCTTCCCAAAAATATCGGATACCCATCCGCTTTTCGGCATTTTCAGTCAAAATTGCCAAAAGTGGTGCCCATGGCAAGTAATCCCAAAATCGATGAACCAAAGTCGAAGTGCCCAAACTTTGATGTGCCCATCCCGCTGAAGTTCAAGCTCCAGTTAGTTGAAGAGTTGTCCCAAAAAAATGTTGAAAAACCCCGGTTTGAGATGCTCAAGTAGTCCCAGCTCCTGGCTGATACCTCAAGCCTGGGCCCACCGATCGAGGAAGTTCCATTCGATGGCATAGGGCTCGCTGGCCTTGGGCTGCAACGAAGTCCAGAAGAAGGTGCCGGCATTGGTGCGAGCAAAGTGAACTGGAACATAGTATTCCTCTTGGTCCATGGCTTGCAGCTTCCCAGAGCCGTTCTGGTTGTAGACGATGATTGCATCCTCCTTGGCGCACTGGCGGATCTCCTCGATGAGGCGGCTCTCCAGATGCTCGTTGGCCATATTGTCCATGTCGTTGTTGAGCCAGTCAAACTCGGCCTCCTTCTCTGCAGAGGCGATGTAGGAGCTGCGCTTGGGCTGCTCCTTCTTCAGATTAAAGACGTGTCCCAGGAGTGGCTTCAGGAGGTTCTTGAGACGGCGCGAGGGTGATACTTTCGACTTATACATATTGTTGTTGAAATTCTTCTGCTTGGTGATGGCCGACATTCTAAGATTTTTGTGCGTGCGTGTTGAGATGTTCTCGATTAGACGGTCGAATGGTGTGTGATGCTCTCTCTAAGACTGGAGGCGCTATTTATACATTTTCTGTCCGAAAGAGAGGCGCAGCATCTCAGCCAATCACAGAGTCCGAGACGAGGGCAGGTGCAAGGATCTGAAATTTCACACGTTCAGCATTGGCAGCAGGTATCTCCTGCAGGACCTGAATGCTCCTACTGAAGCGTGGGAATCTTGTGCTACGTTTTTCTTCCAAGACAATTATCCCTTAATGGATCCCTGGCGTGGGAATAGCAAGAGTTTCAGACCTTTTCTACGATCCCGATACCGATCTCTGTGACTGTTTTTGGATTTGGATTTGTTTTGCCATTTCGTCAGAACTATTTTGGTTCTGTAACCGAAAACCGATTCTATTGTTTGCAAAATTTATTAAAATTTTGTTTCATCTTTTTGTTTGTATTTCTGATGGAATAAGTGATGGAAGTGGCCATGGTTCTGTTCTGACAGGCACGATCATCGGGCTTTGATGGTTTTTTCTGTCTGTACTCAGCCAGGGGTTTGGTTCCCTCACGGGAGCTTTGGAGTATCTGGGCTTAGTGTCACGATAAGTGATAATTCGCTTGGTCACCCCATAGTCAAATGGTAATAGTACTTGCACTGACAATATAAGTATGTACGTAACTCGTTTATAGTTGGAGAATAGTCATATGTACTTGTACCTAATTATTCTAACCCTTACTATCCCAATATCGTTTTCCTTTTATATTTTTTAATTTCTATACAATTTATACCACTAATTCTCTTCGGATATCCAACTGCTGGAAATAACCTACTAATATACAGATTTTACTCTAACCGATACTTCTCCCTCCACTATTTATGATCCTTTTTATTATGTATGACTTCAATAAATGATCAGAGTCTCTGTATATATTGAATGTAATATATTTACATATTACACGCACAACTTTACGCTTCTTAAATTCATTTGTTGGATGCAGCAAAGTTTGAGCTGCGACGTGTAGCCCTTCGCCCTTATTCTTAAGATAGTCTTATTGCTGCTGTGTCTGGGTTCGCTTTGTTTTTGTTTATCGTCTTAGGGATACTGGTGTTGTCGGGTTCTTCTCTACCTGTTTCAATGCAATTTGAGATTTATTTTGTCCAAGCCTCAATCCTAAGAAGGAGCGAAAAGGAGAAAACAAAAATCAGAAACTGCCTTTGGGTAACAGGTTTCTCAGTCGGTTTCAGCTCATTTTTGTTGTTTCGAGTTTTTTGAATCGACAACAGGTTTTGATCAAAGGAAACAGGTAAAGGTAGCCGAAGGTTTCTTTTAAGGTTCTTTTGGATTTTACTTTTTTGTTGTTTATTACTGTGTCTTGTTATTCAGGGAAGGGATTTTGGGAAGGGGTAAGAACTGTTTTTGGAATTCATGGAAAACCTTGGAGGAAATTAAAATAACAAAGGGAAAGTTGGAATCAGAAATGCAGAGAAGTCGGTTACTATTAATATTATGTATTTATTCAGTCACTTAAATTTACATAGATGGAAGACAATGATTAAAGCTTAGTTGGCTGCATTTAAGTAATTTCCACTTGTTGAGTGGGGCGTTAAAGCTGCTCGGATATTTAGAGACCGATTCCGGCGTAGTCTTAAAGCTGTTTCTAGATGTTCAGGACGATCCTCTCGCTCGATCACAGTTGCAAAAGTGGCGCGGGCGCCGCTGCTTCCCACTCTTCGTTTTGGGAGTTCTGTAATTCTTCTTCGCTGAGCACGAGTATTTGAGGCTGCTGAGTGTGGGTTGGCGTGTTCTTGAGCTCCCTGTGCCCCTTGGAGGTGGTGGACGATGTCGTTAGCAGTTTACAGGCCATTTTGAGGATCTTCTTAACGGCCTTCGATGGGGTGTAGGTCTTTTTAACGCACACAGGACTGTACGTGCTGTTGAGCAGAGTTTCGTAGGCCATGTTTGGAGTAGACTGATTCTGATACTGACTGTTCAACGCTCGCAATAGAATTGATGTCCGATTCGCAACTGCTCTTCGTATTTATAGGACCTGGCGAAACCAACCCCTAAGCCTCAACCAATCAGTGCTCGTCCTGGGGCAGGTGTTTCTCGGTTCCTCCCGAGCCGAGTGGCCGCGTCACGCATTCCAAAACTACAAGCAGGTAGCTCCGATACGATACGAGACCCTTGCACGTGTGCGAAGTATTGCCTCAAATGGTTGGTCCTAAATAAATCTCTTCCCTGGCTTCTTCTTCGTGGGAGAGTATTATTTCAGTCGAATATTTATTGGTGGATGCGGCAAGCATACAGAAAGATCGACAACAACATTAACAGGGAATTTTTATCCCTTTTCATGGGTCCCAACCCCCGAATTGGTAATTTGAGTGGTTTGTGTGCGGTGGACGAGGGACCGGGACGGCTCGGTTCGTTTCGAATTTATGCCTTGATTAGTTTTTGGCTATTAATTGTTAATAGACAGACAGTGGAGGGTAAAAGTGACAGACCCTCGTTAAACACATGTTGTCGGCAACGAGCAATATTTACACGTCAACATTTCTTTGCTGATCCGGACAGGTAGGGTCCCACTCAATACAGTGAACTCTCATCATCCTCTGCTGTGTCGGACGCCTCAAAAATTTTGTAAATCTCCTGATTCTCCGTTTGTTGTACGAGGCTTTACTGTATTGCACACTTGCTCCTCAGCTTGGGTCTCTTTCCACATAAAATGCATTCAGATTTCGTTTCGTGTTGAAATAATTGGTGCGAGAATTTTAATTTTTTGTGAAACCATTCAAATTCCAATCGGGTAGAGTGCTATGGCGTTGGGTAGGGTAAATAGAAGATCCTTTTCGATCTAGCTGGGGGTGCACAGCAAGAGGTTTCAAATATTTTTGACTTGTTTAACTATTCCATAAGAATTATTCTATGTGTTTGTAAGCATTGTTGTGTTCGTCTCGTCTCAAGTTCAGTTGTCAGTTTCAAATTTCCTTGAAACTCAATCACCTGAATGAAACTTTAATATATTTATGTATATTAAGTACAGCCTTCTTGGGTCCTGGAGAAAATGAAACGGGATATTTCACGAAAAAATTTTACATTTGGTGACAAGTATTTATTTAATATAATATAATATGTTACTTTACGATTCGATTCTTGCTGTTTCCTATGAACGACAAAAGTATACTTAAAAGTACTGTCATGTATACATTTTTTTTGTGCATACAAGATATTAGTTCCTAGATAAATGGTAGGGATCGATCTCTCTGTTTTAAAATAAATTTAGGTACACATACGTACATATACATAAATCCAATACTAAAATGTAATAAATTCTAATCAGAGCTTCCAATTAAATGCATTAAGATCGATGATTGCAATCTGTAAATGTATTCAATTTGAGATTGATTCTCTGAAATTCGGCTACCAGCAGAATGCGATTCTGAAATCAATTTATTTCAATGAATGAGTCGAGTCGGGAAAGGAAATCTCTTATTGCCCATCCAGCCAAGCCATACAACGTGTTACAGACCACCTAAGGAGGCAAGAATTTTTTTCCCATTTGAAATAAGTAAGAAAACTTATAAATTGTTTTTCTATGGATGTTGTATTTTGTTCTTATATCATCTAAAGTATCTTAGGTTTTACATGGAAGACAATGATTTTTAGCCTAGGAGTACTTATACTATGACCCTAACAAACAAACATGGAAGACAATGATTTTTCTAAGACTAAAACCTAATTCTAATAAGACACAAGAAATCACAATTATTTATATAGTTACGATTGATTGTGATAATTGAATATCAATTAGAGTTGCATTTCCTTGGGGTGGAACGGAACCAAAGAATCCAATCTATACCTAATATCACCCTGAGATTACGATCGTGCAAAGCTGGGCCATTTCCCATCCGTACAATGGAAGGGAATGGGACACTTGCATTTAAAGCTGCCGCCCAATTGGAAGGGGACTCATGTGGATTCCAGTGGGATTCCTAGGCCTGAACCCAGCGATCGAACTGCTGGCGCAACTGTTGCTCCTGGTGCTGTCGTGCACCTTCGGCAGTGGTCCAGAAGAAGGTACCGCTGCTGGTGCGTGCAAAGTGGACCGGGATGAAGGTCTGTTCGGGCTGGACGGGGACGACGTGCTGCTGTTGGCCCTGCTGCACGATCATTGCCACGTTGCTGGGGACACTGCTTCAGATCGTTGTAGAGGCGCTGCTCCAGTTGCTCGTTGGCCATGTTGTCGCAGCTGACGGCGGGATCTTTGCGCATGTCCTCCAGCGAGGCGTTGATGTCGTTCTGGTTCTGGATCTCGGCCAGAGTCTTCCGCAGTAGTTGCTTTTTCCTCACTAGCCGCAGTAGTGGTTTGACGAGTTTTTTCAGACTCCGCATGGCCATCGTATGCTGATCTGATTTCTGCTGCACCATGCTGCTCTCAAACTTGTATTCCCGTGTGATGAACGACATTGTGTTGAATATTTGTGAAAGTAAGAATGTTCTTGAGTTGGTTGCACTATGCTGGGAGGTCGGGACTGTTATGCCAACCCAGCTCTCGGGCTGTTCCTTTTATACGCTCCGCTCTCGGCCTCCTCTCAGTCGGGGGTCGTGGCTGTTTGGGTCGTCTCTCGCGGCTCTCTGTCTCTTTCACGATCCCGTGGTGCAGGCAGCCAATGGGATGACTGCCTGCAGGCAGGTGGTTGCTCAAGCAAGAGAGAATCGCTCGCTCTCTCACCAGAGAAGATGACCCTTGGGTTGGGAGGGTATATTCGGCTGTTGTGCAACTTCAGCATCATACTCGTAAGCCTATACGGGGGTGACGTGACCTGCGATTATTTTAACTTTTGGTTGGACTCTAATCTTTGCTGTTTTATCAGAATGTTTTATGAATGTCTGTAGATTTAAAGAGATTCGCATTTAAACCTGTAAATAAATTGTCGCCAAATTGTCTGGTCAGGGTATGTAAAAATGTCTAGATCGGACACCAAAGGATGGGATTTCGAAGCCCTGTTTAGTGTGGGAGTGTGGGAGGAAAATACTTACAATAAAGAAGTTCGTTATATGTATGTATGTACATATATGATTTATGTTTTATTTGTACATATCTTATATAAAATCTCTGAATGTATCTCTTGTATTTTCTAACCTTAAATATTATATACATATGTATATATTTGCTGGGTATCACAATTTCGAGTTGTTTTTTCCATCAATATGGGATCGTCTATTCATCTCTCTCTCTCTCTCTTTTACAGGCTCTCTCTCTCGCTCATCTGATCACTACCTGCTGAGGATCAGAGTAAAAAGAAATATCAAATCCCAAGCGAAAATTCCAAGAGCGGACAAGTCTCAACTTGTCGGAAAAATTCCAACCCCACATGTGTGAGCCGGGAGAGATTTTAAAATTCGACACACTGTCCCAACGACGGAGGAGGATATAGACAAACAATAGTTTTCGTAGTCGAGATACAATCTCTCTGCTGGAAATACCCGTGCAAACAAGGGACTTGTCCTTTATTTCATTGAGGCAGCCCAGAAATCTCCCTTTCTGTCCGTCTGTCCGTTTTGGAAAAGTAACGTTTTTTTCGGGTACTTGGCATTGCTGTGGATGGTCGCTCTCAAGGTAAGTCAATATGCATTAATGCCGCATTTTGGGAAATCTTAGCAGGTCCTTTTCAGCTCCTTCCGATCGTATTTGTTTGTCATTGTTGTTCTTTCCCGGTTCAGGGACCTGCTCTGTTGATGCGTGAAAAATTTACGACGCGCCAGAAGCACGTAGAGCCATATCTTGTATCTTGGGATCGCACTGTGAGTTCGGTTTTGGTTTACTGGAATTTCGTCGGCACTCCCTATGAGTCGTCTTCCTAATTGTAGTTGGCCCTTTTCTTCCCCCCTCTGAAGGTTACTTTCTCATTTTTGTAACGGCTAAAAATTGTTAGTTTCCTGTAACGGTCAAATCCTTATGTGGATAACCCGATGATCATCAAGTAAGAGTGCATTTAATGGAGATTTTTCTTCCACTAGCGGAGAGCCGAGCTTCTTTCTATACGGGTTCCTACATATATAGACTTGACAAGCAAGTTACATTTTTTTTGCTTTGGATTGAAAATAATATCATAATAACATACCATCATATCAATATCGGCTAGTGTGCAGTGGAGTGGTGGCTAATCTGGAGTAAGCACTTATATGGCTGTCGCTGGCTTTCCTACCAGGTAAACATTATATTGTTTTAAAAAGACCGATGGCTATGGATAAGAGATATATTAATAGTAATTGCTAATATATAATTACATATATTTTCACAGTTAATTAATAACAATAATAACAATCGCATTTCCGCTTTACTATGTGTGTAAGAACATATTTACACACATACATATTTGTACTTGCTAATAATGATTATGTTATGTAGATTTTTAAGCCATTTCAAAAGAGGGTTGTATTTAAATTAAAATATGGCACAAGAAGTCCACATTTGCTTGTCTGAGGTTCACGATTTCATATACATACATATGTACATATGGATGTGCATATGTACGAGTATATCCTATGTACAAAAAATCTAATTAATGCGTTGTCTTATTGCGACTAAACTAAATGATTCTTGTTTAATTCCCTCATTTTAGAAAGAAACGCAAGTACTGAAAATGTACATTGTACATATGTAGATTCATTTGGTTAATCCAGACCAAATTGATCAAATTCCAGCATTAAGAAAACGTTTTATTATATTCAGTGCTAAGAAAAAAAGAATCGAACAAAAAGGAGGTTAAAGCAAGGCCTTAGTGTTTTTACACGTGCAAGAGGTCTTGGGTCTGCCAAAAACCAAGCATGTCTCGACATGTTCAACTGGTTAGATTTCTAGGTCTCTCGATCCATTCTATAGAAATTAGGTCTCTTATTTGCCAAGGAGCTCAGTGTTGCTACTGCGTTATCTGCAAACATCATCAGACCATCTCCATGATGATGATTGCTTTTTCATGGATGTTGATGGTCGGGAAGATCCCAACCCGACGACGACCGTTTGC